AGGATCTCTGGGGGAATTCCAGTTTAAACCTGCGGAGGCAGACAAGCATCCGTACAGATTAATAGTCCGGTCTGGACGATGCCCGGGTTAGGAATAGCAGCTGCAGGCTAGGACTGCCGTCTGTTCTCTGGCGGCAGGGCTCTGGGCGCTTCAGCACCACGGGCTGGACAGCGCCTCTGGGGCAGGCGGGCGGCTCCTGCCAGAACTTCTCGGGGGTGTCTGACCCGACAAAGAAGGGAAGGCTGTTAGAGATAGAGATGATTTTGGGCCGCTAGAGGGCGAGCGCAGGTGGTGCGAGAATCCTTAACAGGTTGGGATCTTTGGGCCGGGAGGAGGCGCAGGGCTGCGTCTATGTGTAACACCCCCGCCCTGACTCTGACCGCTCAAGACCGGTCACAACTCGCCTGTCGGGACTTATCTGTGACCAGTGCACGCCCCAAGACCTCTGCACCCAAAGCCTCTTTTTAATTTTAATTTAAAAAAATATATTGATTTCAGAGAGGAAGGGAAAGGAGAGACAGAAACATCAATGATGAGAAAGAATCTTGACCGGCTGCCTCATGCACACACCCTACAGGGGACGGAGCCCAGGATCCGGTCCTGTCCCTGACCAGGAATTGAACTGTGACCTCTTGGATCATAGGTCCACACTCAACCACTGAGACACACCACCAGGCTGGACCCAGAACCTTTAGAGCTGGGTCTGCCTAGCTTGGGGACCCCCATTCTGGGCCCCACTCCACATGGGACCCTTCAAAACTTCTAGGAGAATCTGGTTGGGAAGTCCTGATTCCTTTAATTTCTATTTGTCCTAAGGAGATCTATGTGGACTTGCAAGTGGGAGAGAGTGTGAGGGGAAAAAAGTGTGGAGCTGTGGGTGGCAGGATGAGTGTGTTCGTGAAACAACGGTGACCTGCACTGTTTGTACTTTCCAGTTCTCCTGGGACTGTGGATAATGCAGTTATTCTCTATCCTTTCATTGTTTGGAAGTTCTCTTTGAAGTCTAACTGTAGGACAGACTGTCATTGTCTGGAGTTGGGGAACGGATACCATGTCACAACTACAAAATAACATGCAGGGAGCTGGGAATCAATTATTGGGACCACTCCACCAGAACCTTAGGCCTCCTTTTATTGACTCCCACCAGCAACTTGAACACCTGAACACGGGCGGGAAAACGGGAGGGGGGCAGATGAGAACATGGCAGTCGGTCACCTGAAATCCCCATGGGGGGAGGGGCAGGAATAGAGGTGTTAGAACTGCAGAGAGAAGCTGAGATTTAGGAAGGCTGCGCAAAGAGCCTGACCTTATCAACCCTGGACTCCGATAAGGGCAATGTGTAGCCCTAATGGGCTGATTAGATTGATCCGCCCGCCCCATCATGGCATTGAGGGAAGGTGCAGGGCAGGGGCTCAGGCCCTAGTTAGTAACTCAAAAGCTCCAGATTAAACTTTCGTCAGACTAATGTAGGTGGCCTCCACCCTCTGGGGCTGACAGGGAGCGTGGGGCGATAGTCACTGGGGAACTGCCCCTGGACAGCCAATTGCATTTGGAGTCCTCGCTAGCGTGAGCCTTGCTTTCGTCCAGACACACTTGCCCATCTGTCGTCTGCTTCCTCGCCGCGCT